AAGAATTAATTGAATTTGTTAATATAAATTTCCGTGCTACTTTAAAGAGATTTAACTTTGTTTAAAGAGGTATATAGTTGAATACTTCAAATATCTTACCTCTTTTTCAGTGTAAGCCACATAGGTGCAACATGATGGAAAACTATCTTCGTGCCATTTTTTAAAAGATTTTTGAACTTTTTTATTTTTAAAAACTGTGGTATAATTTATATACAGCAAAATGTGCAGATTTTAAGTGTATAATTCAGTAAGTTTTGGTAAACATTTATACTAATGTGAACACCAGCACCATCAATATATAGAACATTTTTGTCACCCCAGAAAAGTTCCCTTATGCTCCTTCTTGTCAGTATTCACCATTCAAAGGTAATCTCTGTTCTGATTTTTACCACCATAAATTAATTTTATCTTTCCTAAAACTCCATATAAATAGGATCATGTATTCTCTTTTATAGCTAACTTTTGCTCAACATGCTTTTGAGTCATCCATGACATGTGCATCAGAAACTTTATTTTTTATTGCTGACTAGTATTCTATTATGTGAATACCACAATTTGTTTATCCATTTTTATACTGACAGATATGTAGGATGTGTCCAGGTTTTGGCTATTTTCAATCAAGGATGGTTAGTTTGTAACTGTGTCATAAATCCCAGCATGCCATCTTCCCTTTTCCTGTCTAGCAGGCCTTGCTAACCAAGCATTTGCTCTGCAGTTAAGGGCTTGCTTTCAGGAGCTTGTAACTAAGACCGCCTTGGAGAGAGCAGAGAACAAAAGTAAAATGGGCCCTCCAAGTCCTGGGCAGACGCCTCAAGAGTTCAGCTCTCAGGCACAGAATGGCAGGCCTGCAAATTAACTGAAATCTCCCTTTACAGAAAGAAAAAAAAGAAAGAAAAGAGTGAGCAAGCTAAACATTGAGAGAACTCAGGGCACCCAATTAGGGACCAGGAGAGCCACCATCATGTTGGATCAAATCACAACAGTGGTTTTGAGATGGAGAGGTTACTCAGAATGCTGAGCCTTAGCTGTACTGACAGTGAGGCGGGAGCACTTCCTTCCCCCAGCCAGTTTTGCAGCAAGTGTCACCGGAGTGCCTGATCTGGGCTCCCTTCTGCTGGGGCTTCAGGCTATAAGTAGCACCAGGACGCACTGAGCGCTTGCTGTATGGCCCCTGACTGCTCCTCCAACACGAGCTACATAAAAAAACTCACAGACTCTTAGGGGTGGGGGGCATGTACTTGATAACTGGAAAACAAAATAATCCTACAGATGCAAGTGGCTATCATGCAATTAGGTATTAAGCACATCACCCAAGAGCAGGAATTCTGAGTTCTGGGTTTGAGACGTCTCTTTCTGTGAAGTAGGGCACAGTACCCCATCTCCCATCTCATTCCTTGTAGAGTTCATCTCCCTCTGTGCCACTACCAACCAAAGAGAGGCCTTTGTTCTATTTCCTTGTGTGCCTCCCCTATATCCCCTCCCACGCCTGTCCCCTGAATCTTCACACACAGTTCGGGTTAACTGAGTGCAACTAGAGCTGAAGAAATGTGGAGGGAGAAGTACAATTCTTCAGTTAGCTTGTTGAAAACACTCTTAGAGGATGGGCAATTATATGGGCCTTGGAGACAGGGTCCTCATTAGGCAGTGGCCAGACCTAAGAAGAGAAAGACCTCTGCATTTGCCAGGCTAAAAGGGCTTTCCAGTTCTGGAAGAATTTGTGGCAAAACTCATGCCACAAGAGTGAGTCTCTCACGATGTTACACTGACCAGGCTTGCTAATTGTGCCGAAAGGATCCTTTGACTGCTTGGCATTGGACTCAGCCAGCAAGCAGGCCACTCCATGTACATCCTAGCTCAGCTCTCCCCCTCCCTGGACTGTTGTCTGTTTGTTGCATTACTGTGTCAGGTTCTTACCTGATTATCTTCTGGCCCCCATTTCTTGCCCAGGCCTATTTTTTTTCCTTGCCCCCATTTTCCCTTGCCCTCTTCAACTTTCTGGTTAAAAACAAAACAAAACAACAACAAAAAATAAACATTGACTTAGAACTCTTTACTTTGCATTAGCTACCAAGCCCTGCCAAGGCACTGACCCTGAGCACCTGCCAGAAGATATTTTTATTGCCTTTGGTTTCATTATAGATGACAGGATACATGGAATTGGATTTCTTTTTCCCAGGATTTGGTTGCTAGTTGTTTATTTCAACATCAGATAGTACTTTCTCACTGAAGTTATTTATAGGCAATTTGATTCTTAAAATCCTTTCTGGTATTGCTGGATCAGTTCAGACTGTGAGTCTCATACATTGAGAAGGAAGTACAAACTGTTTGAAGCTTTGAAAAGCCGACACCAGATATCAGAACTAAAGCAATCACTGCTCTCAGACTTATAATCTGCTGGTCTCAAATGATTTTTACTTTTGGGGAATATACAATCTCCTTGAAATTGCTAGCTTTAGCAAACTCCACAGTTATTTTTCCTGAGTTATTGTGTCATCTTCAGTTCTGATTTTGATGTGCGAGCGAAGAACAGATTGTGTCTAGCCCAAGTTACCTTTATTATTTCCAGAGATTGTTCTCTCACAGACTTTAGCCAAAAATTTTTAGAGAAAAGACTTTTCAAAAAGTCTTCCTCCCCACCCCACATCCTGCCCAATTATAGTTGACACTTTAAGCTCTGACTACCCAAGCTGCTTTGAGCAAAAACGTTGGCAAAGTAGCTAATGTTTTGTAATCAATTTTGAGGGATTTGAACTAAATAAGAGTTCCTGATACCATTCTGTGAAGTTCACTAAGCAACTTTTATCAGTGAACATATAAGGTTCATGTGTATCAACTCTTTTACTAGAAACTGCAGATAATCAAACTTATTATATAAATCAGGGAAATGAAAATCCTTGTTCTAACCTTTTTCATAGCCAAAAACAAACATTAAGACCCTGAATACTTGATAGTCATTCTCTGGAGTATGAATATTGGATCTCCATGGCAAGTGTAAACTTCATATTTGTGAATTAATCCAGGATGTTAGTAAATTACTATAAAGATATAGACAACTAAAGAAAGTTTAGCGTATTACCTTATCCAGGACATTTTAAGAAAACATTATAATTATAGAATTAAAATACATCCAAGTTCATGGTTTGGAAGACTTGGTGTTGTAAAGATGGCGATACTACCCAAAGCAACTAAAGATTCAGTACAATCTCTGCCAAAATTCCAGTGGCCATTTTTGTAGAAATGAAAAAGCTGATCCTAAAATTCATATAAAATTGCAAGGAACCCTGAGAATTAAAACAATTTTGAAAAAGAAAAAGTTGGAGTACTCATGCTTCCCAATTTCAAAAATCACTGCAAAGCCACAATAATCAAAATAGTGTTATACTATCGTAAGAATAGACATATATAGATCAGTGGAATAAAATTGAGAGTCTGGAAATAAACCCATATATCTAAATGAATTGATTTTTTGAGAAGGGTGTCAAGACCACTCAATAGGGAAAGGGTAATATCTTCAATAAATTGTGCAGGGACAACTTGATATCTGCATACAAAAGAATGAAGTTGGACCTCATACTACATACTAAAATTAACTCAAAATGGATCAAAAACCTAATTATAAGAGCTAAAACTATAAAAATCTTAGAAGAAAACATAAGGGTAAATCTTCATGGCCTTAGATTTGGTAACGGATTTTTAGAAGTTATACCAAATGCACAAGCACCAAAAGAAAAATATGGATTAATTGGAGTACATCAGAGTTTAAAATTTTGCATCAAAGGACACTATCAAGTTAGTGGGAAGACAACCTATAGAAAGGGAGAAAATATTTACAAATCTGATAAGGGTCTAATATTCCTGATATATAAAAATCTAACAACAAAAAACTCAATTAAAATATGGGCAAAGGACTTGAAGATATAGAAATGACCAACAAACATGTGAAAAGATATTCAGCTTCATTGGTCATTGAGGAAATGAATATCAAAGCCACAATGAGATACCATTTCACATGTACTATGATGGCTATAATTTAAGAACAAATCAAAACAAAACGAAAACTACAAGCATTGGTGAGGATCTAGAGAAGCTGGAACAAGTTAGAACCTTATACTTTCTTGGTGGGAATATAAAATGGTGAAGCCACTATAGCAAACAGTTTGGTAGTTCCTCAAAAACTTCAATATGTGATTACCATATGACCCGGCAATTCCACTCCTAGATAGACACCCACAATAATTAAAAACAGGTATTCAAACAAGTACTTGTTCACTAGTCTTCATAGCAACACTATTCACAATACCCAAAAGGTGGAATGTCCATCACTGGATGGAAAGATGAAAAAACTGTGGCATATTTATACAGAGGAATATTTTTTAGCTGTAAGCAGGAATATAGTACTGATGTATGCTACACTGTAGATGAACTTTGAAACTTTATGCTAAATGAAAGAAGGCATATGCAAAAGGTCACATTTTTTATTGCATTTATGTGAAATGTCCAGAAGAGGTAAATCCATAGAGATATAAAGCATGTTAGTGGTTGTCAGGGGCTGGAGGAGGGAGAATAGGAGTACTGCTTAATGAGTACAGGGTTCATTTTGGGGTGATGAAAATATTTTGGAAGCAGGTTGAGGTAATGGTTGCATAACACTGTGAATGTACTAAATGCCACTGGATTGTACATTTAAAAAATGGTTAATATTATTGTATATGAATTTTACCTCAATTTTAAAAATTACATCATACAGTTTCTGTGATCTCACAAATAATTGTGGCTTTGCTGTCATAGTTACCTTGTGACTGTTGGAACCCATGTGCTTTGTAGCATTAGTACATTGGGAAGTTCTTTTCAGCTGTGGGCAGGAAAACCTGAAGACAGACGATCCTAAGTGGGTTTCTCCCTAAAATAACAATTAAGGAATATAGTTTCATTTTAAATTTTTATTTGTTGAAGCTGGTAAAACTTCTACTTGAATGGGCCTTGGGTTGTTTTCAAATGCAATCTGGTCTGATATTGGTTGTTTTCTTCATTTAATTGAGAACATGTTTAAAATAACTTTATGTTATTTGAAGATGGAATAATTTTTGGTTTTATGAAAATTTAAAGTAACTTTTAAAGAATCTAAGAAATACTCTTAGAATTGCAGTCAGATTTTTCTGATGGTTTTTTTGCTGTACTGCTAGAGATTTTTGTGATACTTTCTAAAATCTTTGCAAATGCTTTTTATTGTCAGTGGAGTTGGTGTCAGGAATAAAAAAATTCTATTTTCAGATCAAGCAGAGCTTGTACAAAATCTGAAAACATTAATTTCTTATTTTCATCTCATATCTGTTTTATTTTTTGAAGGAGGAGCTTTAGGTTATATTCTGGCAAAAGATCTGACATTGAGAAGAGCTTCTTAGAAAGGTAGAAGAGCTTTGCCAATAATCATGATGTTTTTCTTTATGAACAAGACTGATACTTCTGGCCCAGTTAGTGCTGTGTTTTATGCGATTTGTTTGTCCAGCAGATATTTTTTGCTCGTTGTCTTGCATGCTCCCACCTGGCCCCTCTTGTGACCCAATATATGCTATTCAGGCTAAAAACTGTAGATGTGAAGCAAACAAAACTAACTGGTCTGTAGGGAATTGAACCCACAGCTTTTGACATCATTAGCACCATGTCCTAATCAATTCAACTAATGCCTTGCTTGAGCAAGGATTTTGCAATTTTAAAGTTAGAAGGGATCTGGTAAGCTTAGTAAACTATCTGGAATAAATGTAATGAGCTGAAGTGGTGGGTGAATGTAAGTGTTCAGCTTAAAATAATTATTATTTCTAACTTCCACAAAATTAGGAGGATTTCTTTTGTGTGATGTTCATAGGATAATAATTTTAAGAAAAGGTCAGTTTTTAAGTTTTTCAATGAATTATTAGGAAAAGTTTTTAACAAGAGCTAAATTAACTCTTGTTAATTTAATTTTAACTAGACATTGAGCTACTTTTCACTAGACATACCAGGACAGCAGTATAAGAAAGTGAACTAGGTGGGATGAGACAATAGCTTATAGCACAATTATATTTGCCCGGGGCCCCATCCCTGTGAAAAGCAGCACGGTGAATTTCCTTAGGTAATGTACTTAATGGGTTTCTTCATTTGGGTGATTATAATAATAGAATCAACCTCATAGGTTCATCATAAGGATTGAATTAGTTAATGTAGTTGAAGCTCTTAGAACAGTGCCTGGCACAGTGTAAATGACACATGTGTATGTGTATGTTACGTGTATATGTATGTTAAAGACATAAGAATGCTGGAATTAAGATAACTAGGAGCTACTTCGTGGGATTCTTTTTTGAGGGGCAAACCTGTTTGTATTCATGGATGCTCATAGTCATGACCCTCTCTAGTGTATCAATGCCTGGATGTCTGTTGGAAGTTCTGAGACCTTCTGGTATAATACTCACCTGGGATCATTTTACCACTAATAGGCCTCTCAACAAAAGAGAATTCTTTGGGGAAAAAAAATAAAGAACTCAAGAGCAGTGGTTTTTCCACTGTTTCCCAAGTAGTTTCAAGATCCATGAAGCATTTATTTACAATGCTGGTGACTTATTGAAAACACAGTTACTGTCTCATTCATTCACCAAGAGTTACTGTGTATACACCATGGCACTGGATAGAATGGGACAAAATAGGGATAACAAAGACAAAGATGAATAAAACATAGTTCCTTGGCCTGGAACTCACAGTCTGAATCATTTTTGTACCTCTAGAATCCATACCAGGAAAACCCAAGGGCTTTGAATGGAAGCACATCAGAAAATAGCATGTCCTTAATGGTGTGCATCCTGGAAGTTGTAAGGCCACACATCAGTTAATATTATTTTTGCCAAGCCATTTCAACTTAGCTAGAACAGCGGGATGGAAACTCGTTGATAGAAAGTGTTAAAATATAGATTTTAATGAATCATCTGTTGTCAGAGACAATAGAGTTTGCTTTACTTACATTTATATGTTCTAGTTTCTACTCTTAATAGCATTTTTAAAGTAGTTTTAAATTGCTGGTTTGTTATTTTGATGACCTGTTATTATCTACCTGGTTTTTCTGTTTATATATAGTTCTGGTGAAAATGAAGGGAGATTGAGATTCCTAGCTTCCTAGCATATGTTTTCTCTTCTCTCAAAGTGATGATATTTTGCTTTTTTTATAGGACTGAATTGCAACTGCAGAAGCAACAAGTGACCCTTTTAAGATGCTTGTAGGGCTGCACAGAATGAAGAGGGAAACTGGAGAAAACAATGAAGTAAGGAAAAAGTATGTTTCCCAGGCAAATAGTGTGCTTCTGGATTTTAACAAGCTTCTTGAAACATCAATTACCATAACTTTGTCATGTCTAAGTCTTTATAGCCATTTTTAGTCTTTATTGCGTTAAACATTATTTTCTCTTCCTTTGGTTTTTATTGCTGAACTCTTTGATCAGATGATTCTTTTTTAGATTAATCAAAATCTGTATTGAGTCTGCAACTTAGATGATTCCTTAGATCATTTGAATAGGGATTTGTTGTGACTTAGGTTGACCACTGGGTATCATGAAAGTAGAGTAGTGTTGTGTCTCTGTGATATGCAGGTTGAGTCAAAGTGTTAGCCTTTAGTCTGAACATAAAACTTATATTTGTGCTTTATTAAACAACTGACTTGAAAAACTAGAAAACTAGTTTGAATACCAATTATCTAAGCCATATTCTCAGGCTACAATATGTGTGGCACTGCACACATCTAGGGAATCTCTGCAATAGGAATTATTTTTAATGCTAAACAATGCATAAGACAAAGCAAACTAGCAAATAATCAATGTAAATGGACATAGCCTTCATTTGATGAAATAGACATGCCCTAGTAAGCTTTTTAAAGAAAGCACATCTTTTACATTATTTTCCACTATAAATTTAAGAACCTTTCTCCAATATGCTGAAGAGAAATTTTTGTAAAGAGAGAAAAGGAAACAGAGGCAGAGTTATCCATGACATATGATGCTAGAAGTTCTGTACCACAACATCTTTAGACAACTCCATGGCAACATCACTCCTCTCCACAAGTCTGGGGACCACCAGCCCATGGGAATTTTCCCATAATTATAACTGCTGGGACTTTCTGCCTTGGGATGGGAGTCTTCTTTGTGCTTTAGTAATGGATTGCAGCAGGGCTGTTCTTGGATATATGATATATTCTAGCTTGATCATTCTTTGACTTGGAGTCTTAAAGGTGAGTAAAACTATTTATTAGCTTTATTTACTTATTTTTTTGTAGACAGAGTCTTGCTCTGTCACCTAAGCTGGAGTTCAGTGGCATGATCATAGCTCATTGTAACTTCAAACTCCTACCCCCAAGTGATCCTCCTGTCTCAGCCTCTGAGTAGCTGGGACTACAGATGTGTGCTGCCATGCCCAGCTAATTTTTCTATTCTTTTGTAGAGACAAGGTCTTGCTGTGTTGCCCAGGCTTGTCTCAAACTCCTGGCCTTAAGTGATCCTCCTGCCTCAGCCTCCCAAAGTGCTGGGATTACAGGCGTGAGCCATCATGCCTAGCCATGGCTGTATGTATCAGTTCTTTAAACTAAAAATGTCATAAGACAAGTTTCTTGTGCACACATTTTCTAGGGCTCACCCTCACACTGACTCTGCTTCATCACCTTGCTCTCCTGGCTGTGCTGCAGTCAACCCAGAAATGTTCCTGCTTCAGGGCCATTGTCCTTATTCCCTTTGCCTAGAGCCCTCTTCTCCCAGATAGCCACGTGGCTCCTGCCTTCCTCCTTCTTCCAGTTTCTTCTCCAAAGTACCTTCTTAAGGATACCTTCCAGGGCACTGTCAGTGGAAAAAGGCACCTCACTATATCCTGGAATTACCCTGAGTGTTATACATATACTTGTTTGATTGGCTGTCTCCTGGCCCTCCCTCCACACACGTTCCCTGCCTGAACTCCCTGAGGACAAGAACTTTATCCCCAGGCTCTAAAACAGTGCTGGAGAGTAGATGCTCAGTAAGTGTTTGTTGAATGAATAAATGAAACATGGTTGTGTTAGGAGGATGTAGATTTGGAGATCATGTGATTGGATTGAAAATGATTAACAGGGGGCTAGGTTTGGTGGTTCACGCCTGTAATCATAGCACTCTGGGAGGCTGAAGCAGGAGAATAACTTAAGGTCAGGAGTTCCAACCAGCCTGAGCCAGAGTGAGACCCCATTTCTGCTACAAATAGAAAAACGAGCCTGGCATGGCCGCATGTGCCTGTAATCCCAGCTACTCAGGAGGGAGCACTTGAACCTAGGAGTTTGAGGTTGCAGAAAGAAAGAAAAAAAAGAAAATGATTAACAGGGAAAATGTTGTGGAAGAAGTATCTTAAACTACATATTAAAAATCTGATAAACCACAGGGCTTAAAAATCATTGTCAAAAATCTCCCTTTGATCTAGAAGGTGATTTAAGCCACTTCAGGAATATAAGTGTCAGAGCAGATATTTATATTTAAAAACCAGACATAAAATATTAAACAGAAATGTCTAGTAAAAGATTGTAGATGGTAAAAGATTGGGAGGTAAGCAAAAGAGTTAGAGTGATCAGATGGGAAGTGACTTGAAAGAGGAATCCCATGGTCAGGTAGAGGGTAACAGGTGGGCCATAGTAGTACCTGTGGGGTCAGGAAACTTGTAGCATGGGGACATTATCTGTGGTTGCAATTGGAGGAAGTTAATGAGAAAGGCAAAGCCAAATTGGAGTCACGAGGAATTTTCTTCTGTGTCACTCTCTGCACCTACTACCTGGCAATGCTGAGCCATCTTGTCTAGCTCCAGCTTACCTCGTTTCTCCCATTCTACTCCTATCTATGAAGTATGATGATTTGTTTATTTTACACATCACCTTTGAGATCTTTTAAAATTAATCTCTCACTTTCAGAGGCACATGCCATTTGATTCATTAATTGCATTTCTAGGAATTTATCTCACATATGACCTCATACAGGTATGTAGGTACTCCTGTATCACCTCAGCCTCTATTAATTCCTCGTGCATGCTTCTTACCTCAGTAGGACTTGGACAGAGAATAAGTATCTCTCACTGCCATAATTCTGTTGTGGCCATGGGTCCTGTTCCTCTCTGCTGGCTCCTGTGTTGACTGTCTGCCTCTTTACCTAAACTGCAGTGGACTGGAGACATTTGCATAGGAACTATGTCTCCTCTCGGGTTTTTCTTTCGAACTTCTGTTTCTTACAGGAGTCTTTCTTTTCTCCTTTGCAAATATAGTGAATGGTTATACTTTTTGCATTGCATTTTTTAGATATTTTGATAATTAAGCATATAATAGTGGATATCTCTACTTGGCTTCACATTAAAATGACTTCAGAAGCTTTATAAAGTATTAATGCCTGGTCCCACCCTCGAGATTCTGAGGCAATTTGTATGGGGTGAGGAGTGGGCATCAACATTAAAAAAGCTGCCTGATGATATTTGTGTGTGCTCAAGTTTGAGGAGCAGGAATACTATTGATTTTTCTATATTGGTGATGACTTTGGTCACTTTAAACTCACCATGACCATTTAAGTCATTCCTTTGGGTTTTGTAAGTATGAAATAGTGTTATATATAAAAATATTTTGTCTCTGCCTTTACTGTATTTGTACCTCTCATTTGTTTTTATGCTCTTTGTATTGGAAGGAACTTCTGATACTATATTAATTAACAATGATGATAAAATGTTTCTTCATTTTATGCCTATTTTTAATGATTGTGTAGCTTGTTTTTTCCCTTAAAGTATAATATTGACACTTGGTTTTACATAGATATTCTAATCAGGATAAGATTAAACCTTTATTTATTAAACCTTTATTATACGATTAAACCTTTATTAGTTTTAGTACTTTTAAATTAAGAATAGGTGTTAGATTTTAACAAATGAATTTCTTGGTATCTGTTGACGTGACATGATTAAGAAATTTAATCTAGTCCTACTTTCTATTTACTATTTTCTTTTAAATTTTCAAGCATGAATTTTGAGTGAGCTTTGTCTATAGTTTTCTCTTTTTGCATTTTCTTTAGCCAGTTTTGGGGTCAGGCTAATAGAGTAAACTAGATAACCTATATATTGACCCATTTTAGGCATGATTTCTATAACATGTGAGTTATTTGTTTCTGGAGAGTTTGAAAGGATTCACTAATAAGCTGTCAGAGGCTAACTGCTTTTTGGGGTTATAGTTATTTGATTTTTTAAAAGATGTTGGTCTCGTTAGGTATTTTAATTTTGCCAATGTTAGAATTTTGCATTTTTAATAGAAAATCCACGTAGTTTTATCCAAATTTATTAACACATGTAATATTCTCTTAAAATTTTATTACTACATTTTGTGCCCTATTTTTCCAATTTTACGTGTTTCCTTTTTTATAATTACATTTACCAGTAGTATCACTATTAGTCTATTAATAGACACTTTTAGTTGAAATTTAAAACTTTAAAAAACACAAAAATGGAGTGAAAAGTCACTTTCCCATTCACTCCTGTTCCTGAGGCAAATAGTTCCCCTCTCATAGGCTGCAACTCCTGCAAGTTTTTTATGAATCCTTTGAAAGTATTTTGCTTTTCACTTTCAAAATATCTAATTTCTTTCTTTTTTAAAAAAGCTCCTCTAAATTCTTTTGTTTGTTTCACAAGATTATTAGTTGTCTAGTTTTATTTTTTTGGTAACACTTAAAGCAATACTTGTCTTCTTTTTTTCATAATCTACAGATTTCTTATGTAATGATTTTGTTACTTTTTAAATTTCATTGTTATGTCAGAGCTTATCTCTTGCAAACAGAATATTTTTAGATTTTGTGTCTGTTTAACTTATCTTTGAAGATTCTATATCTAATATGGGAATTTATATTCTTTTTTAATATTAATTAATTTATTTACTTTTTGTTTTTATTTCAGCATATTATGGGGGTACAAATGTTAAGGTTACATATATTACCCATGCCCCACTCCCTCCTTGAGTCACAGCTTCAAGCGTGACCATCCCCCAAACGTTGCACATCTTACTCATTGTGGTTGTATATACCCATCCCCTCCTCCCCCCTCCCACTCGCCCGACACCCGATAAATGTTATTCCTATATGTCCACTTAGGTGTTGATCCGTTAATACCAATTTGCTGGTGAGTACATGTGGTGCTTGTTTTTCCATTCTTGAGATACTTCATTTAGTGGAATGGGTTCCAGCTCTATTCAGGAAAATACAAGAGGTGCTATATCACCAGTGTTTCTTAAAGCTGAGCAGTA